ATCAAAGTTACAATGATTACTTAGGATGAAGTGATAATGTATGGAGTCATCATGGGAGCCCTGTTTCGTTGATTATTCTGGTACGTAATCATCATAAGGGGGGGGGGGGTAATTGTAATGCTCGTAGATCCGGGCTAGTCAATTTAGAGATAATAGGGGTCGAAAATGACTTTTTGACAAAAGATTATCTAGAATAAATAATATTAACCAAGTTGTAGAATATCTCTCAAGGGTTCCATACATATAAAGAACACCGAAATCCGAGTTATAACAAATAAGTTATGGCCTGTCGAAGTTTCGCGATGGAACCGGCACGATACCAAGAAGCGTAAATAGTGAATTTATGATAGAGAAATATTTAGCCTTAGCGATCTAAACGAAATTCATACAATACGTTAAACTAAGTGCATCCATAAAAAGAATGCCGAAATCTGACTTCGTATGAGGAAGTTATAATTTTTCGAAGTTTCGACTTAACAATGTATAACCCGAAATTCGGATATTAGATTGATTGGTTTTTAGCCGACAGAACCTAAACAATAATCGAAAATCTCGTTAAGAGTAGCGTAACGATAAAAAGATGTACGAAAACGGACTTCGGATGAAGAAGTTATGAATTTTTAACGGACCAATCCTATCCTAGCCTGTTAATAATATAACTTTTAAACTAAAGTCAAAATTAGCTGACAGAGTCTAAATGAATGTTGTAGAGTATATTCCCGCCTACGAGTGGATATAAAGAACGTCGAAAATGGAGCTCATAAGCGAAAGATACGAATTTTTGAAGTTTGGAGTCGGATTTGCGAAGCTGATGAAAGAAGCGATGATGTGGCATGATCTGAACCGTCCATCGTTGATCAGTGGTCGCTTCGGATTTGGACATGTCCCCTTTTGCTACGCCCTGCGTCCGAGGGTAGGTACGCCCAACATACCTCCGGTCTTATCCCTTCCAATGCGATGCGAGACAACTGGAGCGAGCTGGCCTTCTTATCCGGAGTTACAACCAACATAGTCCGAAGTTTAGCAGCTATAAAAGGGAGGCAAAGCCTCTCGGATTTTCACACCAATTCCACTTGTCTCTCTAAATTACTTTCTCTCTCTAGGGTTTTGAACCCTCCCTAAAGCCTAGGTGAACCCCTAACACCCGAAGGAAGCCCTGAGGCTCCCAGTGTCCCGAGAAAAAGGGTCTTTCAGTTTCAAAATGCTACTCCAAGCAAAGCCCGATTCTCTATTAAACCCGCGGTAAGTAAGCTACGCCTACACTATTTTTAATATAGCTTTTAGATAATTATAGTAACGTTATTAGGAACTTATAATGTGTACTTGGGCTATTATTATGGGTTATATAAGTATTGTTTAACGCCTATATAATAGTAATAAAAACTAGACTATTAATTAGTCTTGGTGAATGATAGACTAAACCCTAGTGGTAATGATAATAGGTTTTGATGACGGAAATTGTTTCAAGAGTAACGAAGCGTCGTCTAAGTTCGGAATCACCACCTTATCAGGTGAGTCCATGCTCCCTTTCATCATACACATAGATATAAAGTATTTTATATAAACTACGTGCTATGTGTGCATATTATCTGTATAATTGCTATCTATGCTAGATGAACGATTTTATAAAGTTTTATATGATTTAAACTGTGTATGTATTTATATTTACATAATATGTTGGGTAAAACATGGGTAGATGAAATATGAGTTTGATGATGAGATGAAGGATGATTTAGACCATGAGGTGAGGGTGAGAGGTGGATGATGTGAGAAGCTTTTTTCCCAAATGATGGCCTCATCATTCTGCAGAGTATGCATGGCAACCACGGACTATTCTAGACAGTCCAGTGGAACACTAGTAGGCTCGCAACATGTAGGTGTTGTAAACGATGTGTTCAACCTGTGTACTCTAAACCTTGGCGACCAGACTTGGTGCCTAAACCTTGGCGATCATGCAGACTTGATGCTTAAACCCTGGCAACTATGCAGACTTAGTGCCAGTTGTGTAAACCTTGGCGATCATGCAGACTTGATGCATAAACCCTGGCAACTATGAAGAGTTAGTGCTCGTTGTGTAAACCTTAGCGATTATGCAGACTTGATGCCTAACCCCTGGCGACTATGCGAACTTAGTGCCTGTTGTGTAAACCGTGGCAACGATGGACTTCATGTCAATTCCTTAGGATGATCCTTAGGAATGTATGAACGAGAAATAGCTGATTCTTAAGGTAGATCCTTAAGGGTAAAGAAGATAATAGGGATGGGTAATTGGGTTGATTGTTTGATTTTTTTTAAACATAAGAGTTATATTATTATTGGTTGAAAACCCTATGTACTCACCTGGTTTTCCAACCTAACCCACTCAGTTTATTTATATCACAGGTTTTGATATGAAGTCACATTACATTGAGATTTTAAGGAGATATAAATCATTAGAGATAATGAATGTAAGTTCTTGTTTAGCTTATGTTTATGTATTGATGATGACATCCCAAATGTTTTAAAATGAATAAAAATACTTTTCTTCAGAAATGTTTTGATAATGTATTTATCATGTTTAACACTTTAATGAAAAATATTACTCTGATTTTCAAACAAGCATAAACAAAATTGGTATTTTCTGACCGTGAAAATAGGGATATCACAGGTGGTACAAGTTTATCTTTGAAACCCATGTCTACAGAAGAAGATAAACGGAAACGGAAAGAAGTAACTGTTGAACTTTCAAAGGAAGAAAAGAAAGTTGCAATGGAATAAGAGATAGAGAAGCAAAGACAAGTTAAGAGTATACTTCAACTGAGAGCCAATGATCTACTTGGTCTCAACAAAGGTGATCCTACAAAGCATTCTAATTACGAATCTATTGAAGCCTTGGTTGTTTCTGGAGAAATGCATGAGTTTGAGAAGATTCCCAAGAAAAGCTTTGATACTGTGAACTCTAACATGAATAAGTTAGATTTCCCAGTGAACAAAATGATGTTCCTGGATGAGCAGTTTGAGCTTGCTTACAAATAGAAGGATAAACTTGAGTATAGGCGTATGGAGTTTCGTTTTCATGATGTACTTGGGAAGAAAGGGGATGAGATACGATCAGTGGTTAAGATAGTTCGGGTTTTGGGCATAGCTAAATACATTCTGTTTGAAGGAATGCTCCAGAATTGTCGATATCATGCAGTCCGAGCAAACAATATCACATTTGACTTTTCGGTTGCAGACTTTCCACTAATGAATCTTCATGATTTGTGAGTTGTGACGTTGATAATGAAGGGTGTTGATTTAGAGAAACTGCAAGTGACAAGAAAGGAAGATTTTTTGAATGCTTTTGCACATATGAAGGTTTTTATCGATGGATACTATGGAGCATTAGCTTTAACAGATGTTTAGTTGGCAATGTCTTTTGATAGAGAAGTCACTGTTCCACAAACTATACTTTTGAGTAAGACTAGTTTGAAAGATTTCGATGATGGTGAGGTTACCTTGAAACCTTTAGGAATTGTTTTTGTTGGGAAAAACAAGAAGGGCAATAATTCGAAATTCTTGTTTCAACTGTTTGATGTCGAAAGGTACACAACGCCACATTACTCAAATTTCATGGTAAAAATGAACAGCTGTGCCAAGAATAATGACAAGGAGAAAGCTGAGATTCGGAAAATCATTAATTGTTATGCTGAGATACGAAGGGTGATTCATCAAACGGCTAAGGTGTTAACAATTTAGATTCGACATCTCTCACAAATGGGGAGAATGTAGATTTTCGAATGTTATTATGAGGTGTCGAATATTTCTTAGTTTTCTGTAATATCGAAGTCTGTTTGTAGTGTTATTACAAGGGCATTTTGTATTTTGAAGCTTATTGTAATTAGTTCCTTGTTTTTTTTTGTGCTTTCAGTATCCCTATATATAGGATAGATACACTTTGAGGTTAAGACTGAGTTTCACAATTGTAAGCATTTTTGTTATCCTCTTGTATTCTCTGATAAGCAATACAAAGAGCCACCCTGATTTTATTTAGATATTGTGTCTAAATTTATTCTTACTCTGATTACATTTTAATACTCGATTCAATCGTCACTATACATAACTTACAATCAAAACTAGATGATTACTACGCAAATAAGAGACTAGTGGTCCTTGGAAAAATATAGCAGGGACAAAAAAGGAATTGGACAAACTTGATATTCCTGTATCATATATTTTTAAAAAATTTATCAATGGAGAGAACACCGAAGGAAAATGTCATTTTAACTCCTAATGGGAAACATTCTATCCACTCATTAACGCATAAAATTGACCGAATCACTACTACAAGCACAACGAAAATAGACTCGCTAAAGGAGGTTCCTTATAAAGTTTCGTGTTTTGCATAAAGAGCTAAGATGGGTAAATTTTCATTTGTCATGGTGTTGCAACGAAGAGGGGTGTGGCTAGAATCCACGACATGCAAGTATTACAATCATGAGGAGGAATGCGACAATCACATCCTTGTACAATGTACATTTGCAAGGTTGATGTTGGAATGAGTTTTTAAATGGTGTGGTATACATACCGATCCGTTCAACACAATCGTTGAGGTCCTTGATTTCGCAGCTGGATGGAGGAGTTGCCCAAAGAAAAGACAGATCTTACAAGTCATTTGCTATGGAACCCTTTAGAACATATGGAGGGAAAGAAACGATAGACTCTTCAACAATCGGCGAATTGCACATACTTTGGTGGTTGACATGATAAAATTTATAGTATTCATCTGGATTAAATTTAAGGGAACTTTTGCAAGGAATCTGGAATGGGTTGATTGGTGCTCAGATCCTTTTGTTTGCTTTTATATTGTTAATTGTAACTTTTAAACACGTGTTTTGCCCTCCTCTGGCAACTTGCTAGTTTTGGGTTTGCTATATTCACTTAATATATTTTCCGGTTCAAAAAAATAAAATAAAACTAGTTGTCAAATAAATACGGCCAAGTAATCAATATATTTACATGCTAATTTAAGATAATAACGAATGAAATTGACAAGAAACCTCTACGGCTCTATACCATTGACCATAAGCAAACAGCGTGTGGTAGCTCTACTTCTATGACCCTTGAATCGTACGCTATATTATATATTCGTTAATATCTATAAGTACACATAGCACATAGAACCCTTCAACTACTCCATTGTCATCACATTTTTCTTCTTCGGTCACAAATTTTACTCATAAATATATTTCAAACAGTATTCGCTAATTCAGATCAATCAAGACTTCGAATTCCGAGCAACCGCAACATTAATTCCAAACAGAAATACCGAAAGCCAAGAAATGTCATTGTGCATGTCGATATTATATGGTGCTCCATTGATATCAACAAGTCCAAGTCTCATTACATCATCTTCTATAGTTAATTCAACTTCTCATGCAGCAATCTCAAAAAGCAGGTATCTATCCTCATGCGGCGTCCATGGCTTCCATACTAGAAACTTGCTGTATCACCCCATGTTGATTATTGCACGACGAAACTTTGTTGTATGCAGCAATATTACTCCACCTCCCGGAGTTCCTCTTCCTTCAGGATCACCTTCGGGTTCTATGTAAGCTTCTAAAATGACCAATTTTTCCAGTTATTTTCAAGTATGTATTGAATTTAAATAATGTCATCTCTTGTGATCTAGACTAGATTTTCTACCAAGCGAAAACAGAGAAAAAAATATACCTCTTATATTTGTTCTTCAGTCTATCTATTCGTAGGTAACGTGTTTTAATTTCTGTGTAACTTTTCAGGATTGGTTGGGTTCTGTGTATCGTGTTGACATTTGTTGTACCCTTTATCACGCGTAAATGGGGGCCGTTGATTGCACTAAAAAGTAAGAAGATTTGCTGAGATAATTATACTGTGAAACGAGGCTTTCATATTTTATTTTGCTTCTAATTATTTATGAGTTTCTTCTTGAGGTTATTGTGTATAGATGTATAACTATCTTTTTAATACAACAAAACTTATATCTACTGCATCTGCAGATAGAGTGGACACAGCGGTAGACATGGCGGAGCATATAGCGGAAGTTATGGAAGATGTGGCTGGAAAAGTTGATAAGGTGATCGATACCATTACTGATGATCTTCCTGAAGATAGCAAACTTAGAAAAAAGTTGGAAGCCATTGATGAGCTGATCGAAGGAGTAGCAATGAGTGCTCATATCGCCAATGATATCATCGACAAGGTTTGAATACTGACCTTTTTCAGGCTCTTACATATGAACAGTAGCGTATCTTGACCAAACTCCAACAGGGGTGCACTCACGTAGAAACCCATTTAAATTTACTGGAAAATTAGAACTTTAGTTATTTGATGTTGAAAGGGTCAAAGTTGGGTAACTATTAATATACGTAGAATTTATATATTGAAATTAAAAGGATTAAATATTGAAAATGTCAATGGCGCAGGTGGAAGAAGCTGAAGGTAAACTCGAGTCCTTGATTCTTTCCCAAGCAAACGAGGAAAAGGTTTCCATACAAGTTGTGAAAAAGGAGGAAGTTTCTACGCATAAAGATTGAATAGTTATTAATATTCGAGAAAAAGATAAAGATAGTCAACGTATTAAAGTTTGACCTTGATTAGGATAAGCACTTAAAATCAATTTGTTCATTTATTTGTAATATATATTCTTACCGTTAGCATAGTATTTGCTTTGAACTAGTCCATTCTAATATTTCATCAAATACGGATTGTATCCTTTTGAAATAGTACTATAGTCATGATGACACCTAAAATATATATGAAATCGAAACTTACGTAACCACGTACAAACCATGTGTCTCGACTTATTTACACTAAAGTTTATGAAAATGTTACGAGTAAAGCAAGAATACAATTAAGAAATAATAGATGACACGTAAAACATATTTTACCCATTAAATTTTAAGAAAATGTTACGAGTATAGCAACAATACAATTTATAGAACACGTAAAACATTTTACCATTATTGGTTGTGTTTTTATGTATTGCTGTTATATTCTGTTTCCCAACTTGATGTTTAAGTATATTTTGCTTTGTTGTAGAGGTTTATTTACTCCATTTGTATATTTTGTATATTTTATGTTAATATATTCAACTACTTAAGCAAATGTTTTGAATCTTTGTATAGTACATTATTTATCTGTAACTACCAAGTGGATTGGGTGCTACTTTTGTACATGGGAAAGTTATTGGATTTAAATATTGAAATATACACATCAATCTCATGTCATCTATTATTTCTTAATTTTATGTAAAACTCAATAATTTTTTAATCATACTCATCAATTAACCCACAAGAACCCAGATGGGATGTGAACAAAATATATATTTTATTGATGTAAAGACTTTAGTTTAATGATATTTTTTTGAATATGCAAAACTTCAAAATTTTAAACGATTTTGAAACATTTTTTCCCTTATATATAAATCATTTTCTCAAAGAATAACGATTAATTAGTTTTAGCAATTAAAAAGCAATTATGTCAAGGGAGAACAATACCGGTCTCACTAGGATGTATATGAAGCATTTAAGATCTTACAATTTTAAGATCCTACAAGTCAAAAACGATACCGATCTCACTAGGATCTATATGAAGCAAGATCTATTGTAACATCTGTTTTAAGTATGAGTTAATTTCTAATTTTTAAACTTTCATGTTGGGTGTCCATGACATGGTGGTGCTTTACCACGATGCGATAGTAACTTAATGATCGTGAGATTTTAATGACCCACCACGCAATTATGTCAAGGGAGAACAATACCGGTCTCACTAGGATCTATATGAATCATTTAAGATCTTACGATTTTAAGATCCTACAAGTCAAAAACGATACCGGTCTCACTAGGATCTATACGAAGCAATATCTATTGTAACACCCGTTTTAAGTATGAGTTCATTTCTAATTTTTAAACTTTCATGGTGGGTGTCCATGACATGGTGGTGCTTTACCATGATGCGACAGTAACTTAATGATCGTGGGATTTTAATGACCCACCACGCAATGACAATGGGTGCCATGACATGGCAACTGTTTTTGGAGAAAACCCTAATCATTGGAGTTTGGGCCCTATTTAAAGGACATGATGGCTATGGTTCCGTGATAATCCAGCCTCAATCACCTTCCCAAACTAAAAAAACCCTAACCCTAGCTTCCTTTGTATGTTGTAAGATCATTTTGGTACTTTTTTGTATCTTTAAAGGAGAATAAAGCCTTTTTGGTGTAGTAGTTCACATTGCAAACATTATCTTTATCTTCTAGCATATCTTTTGGACCTTGGTGAGTGACCAAGACTGAATCTTTCCATTTCTAAGTTGCTAGATCTCTAGATTTGTCCCTTATTCTTCATGTCTCGAAGGCATTGCATGGCGAGATCTTATAATGTTTGCAACTTTATGTATCTTTAGGTTATTTTGGGCGTTTGGTGTCTTGGATCTGAAGTAGGAATGAGTTTTGGTGTCATGAATGAAATATTGGTCATAAAACCCTTATTTTAACCTATTATGAGTTGAAGACATGGATTGGACATGCATGTTTGTAAAGTATGAATTTTTACGATGGTATTGGTGCCATAAACTCTTCTAGAACTGATGGACAAGGAACTTTCAAGATTTAGTGCTTAATGATTCAGTCCATGTCGTGTTTTGCTTTGTTTAGACCTAGGGTCTGAAATCTTGATCTCTTAGAGGGTCTTAAGGGATAAAGTTGGAAACTTTGTCCTTCTAGGCCATTAGAAGGACCAAATCTAAGCTTTGGAGCTCTTAGAATCGAAAAAAACGGCTTAACCCATTAAGTTGTTAGGATCCTAGTGCCCCCGACATGGCCTTAGGAACGTGGCCTTAGGTCACCACAACATGGTGTCTAGGAAACTCTCATTTGTTTTGTTGTTTGTGGGCCACGATGTGGTCACGGATTTCCACAACGTGGTAGTCGATTAAAGTCAACTTTTACCGATGACTTTGATTGTTGACTTTTGGCTTGAGTTGACTTTTGGTCAAACTCCTAGTTTTGGAAGGACGGATAAAGGCTTACATTTTGTATTTATATAGGTGGTGTATAGCATTAATATTTCAATCGTGAGAGCAGTAGCAACTGATTATCGTCTTAGAGGTAAGTCTCTTTACTGTAGTCGTGGGTCGAAGGAGCTAATATCAGCCTAATGAGTTATGTATATAGGATAATAATGGTCAATGTAACAATTGATGATATAAATGTATGTGCTTTTCGTCTTTGTGACTCTTGGTTGTATAACTGTATGTTGATTGTATGTATGGTGAAATAAACCTGGGGGTGAAATAGACACGTTCAGTTGAAAAATAAGGATGGAGTTGAAATAGACTCGGGGTGAAATAAACCTATATAGATTCGAGATGATATGTATATATGATGTATGTTATGGGGAACTCACTAGGCTTTGTGCTTTCGGTTTCATGTTTACGGTTTCAGGTACTTCCAATTTCAAAGGGAGGAACTCAACGTAATTGCACCGCATACATTAGTGTTCCAAATTATTCGACTTGTTTTATACTCTGATGACTATATGACATGTTTTTATACTGTAATGGGATTTCAAATGAAATGAATGGTTGTTTTTGATTGATTTAAAGAAACAATTTCACTTAGTATTTTTAGGATGTTATATTAATGATGAGATATTATGATCCCGACTAGGATCTTAAGATCTTAATACGATCCTATCTTAACTCTCTAGTTTTATTATATAGTCGAACATGAAAATTTTGTATATTGAACATGAAATTGAGAATTGTAAGTTGCAAGAAGCCTCATATAACATCATCACTTCATCAATTCATCATATATTAGGTAGGTTATACTTCAACAACCCAAAAATAGTGATAAATTTTTCGTTTTAAAATTTATTAATTCCATTCATCATATGTCTCAGAGTCAACCATGATACAAAATATCATGATCATCAGAGCATAAAATATCATGTGTGCGGAAACATGAGGGGGGATGTCGTGCCATCATGTCAGGCCCTTCCATTTCGTACTAGAAGTACCTGAAACCACAAACATAAACTCTAAGAACAAGGCTTAGTGATTTTTCCCAAAAATACCACAAACAAGACATATATAAATATAACATGTGGTTATATCGGGTCCATATCAACCACGAGTCCATAGTGACTCCAAGCCCATATCGATTCTATGCATACAACATACGATCATACCAGTAAAATTAACATAGATGCATACATCCTACATATACAAATCAGTAGGCCGACATTGGTGCATTCAACCTAAAATTATGGTTAGTAGACTCACCTCAATCAATAACCGGATAAAACTGACACTTAGGCTACTGCTACAAAGCTCCTCTCACTAAACATATCCAAAAACAACCTTAATTAGCGACTAAGGTGATGTTCCATAATTAAGGGTCCTTTACATACTTTCAACTAACTGAGCTGATGTCAAACCTAACTAACATGCCCTAAATCCACAACCAAATAAGGATCAGGAAAATAAGCCAAAACCCATCATTATAGGGCTATATGAACCTAATCGTATACAATTTTCAAGCATACACAGCAAATAATTGAGTTGATTTCAAGCCTAAGTA